GTAAATGTTCAACCAAGCCTCTTTCATTACTCCTCACTAAGATATTGACAGTAGCGAAGGAAGAACTTCAAGAGTACTGTGCAACAATATATTCAAGAAGTGTGTGAATCAGATGTGGATACTCAAAAATTCCAAGGAACTTTTGGACAATTTGAAATCGCAAGATTTTACCAGAATCACCAGCTTAAAAACTGACGACATTTCAACTTTATACACAACCATTCCCCACGATAAATTAAAGTCCAGGCTTTTTGATATCATTGACAGCTGCTTTTTCAATAAAAAAAGGAACTCGTAAATTTACTTACCTGGTCATTGGTCATTTGCAAAATTATTCTGTTAAAACACATTCTGATTGCACACACAAGTACTCTGAAGTTGACATCAAAAAGATGCTTGAGTGTCTGATTGACAATATCTATGTGGTTTTTGGAGACCAGGTATTCCAACAATCTATTGGAATTCCCATGGGTACCAATTGCACTCCGTTATTAGCAGATCTATTTTTATATTCATATGAAGCAGAATTTGTGCAAAATGTTATGCGTGAAAAGAAGAAAACACTTGCTGAGGCCTTCAACTCGACATTTAGATATATCGACTTTGTTTTGTCAATTAACAATGGTAATTTCCATTCCTACGTCAATAAGATATATTCTGGTTAGCTTGAGATAAAAATACCACCGAGTCTTATGCATCTTCTTCATACTTGGATATTTTACTTGAAAAAGACGCTAATGGTAATCTAACAACCAAGCTATATGATAAACGTGATGACTTTCACTTTTATATCGTCAACTTCCCTTACTTATGCAGCAATATACCTTCATCACCTGCATACGGAGTATATTTATCTCGGTTGATTGGATACGCAAGAGCATGCTCTAAGTATGAACAATTTCTAAAACAAAGGATATTATTGACAAGCAAGTTGATGAAACAAGAATATTAGCAGTCTCGTTTAAAGTCATCATTTCGTAAGTTCTATGGTCGATGCAATGACCTTGTCAGCAAATACAATTTATCATTGAGTCAAATGCTGACTGACGTTTTTCATGCTAATTGTTGGTCCATTATTTATACACTGAATTGACGATGGATTTTTCCGTTATTTTCCGATCATGACAGGGATCACACAGCGGGTGTGACCGGTCGGCAGGGGATGCTCACTCCTCCATATACCTGATCCCATCTCTGATGTTTCGGAGGTCCGTGTTTGCTCTGCTCCTATTTTTATTGTTTTATGGAATTTGAGATTGAATACTGCTCGTTATCTCCATATCCTTCTCTACGTACGAGCAATATCTAAAACGAGGTAAATCATTGAAAAACAAGTTGATGAAACAAGTAACATATCCAAATATGAAACAGATGTGTCAGATTCTGTGGTATCTTTTATCTGAAGCACACCAGGAAATATCGTAATGATATTGGAATGGAAATTACCATTACCATTGTTAATCGACGACACGTCATCAATAAATCGAAATGTTGTGTTTAAGGCTATATACAGCAAATGTTTTCTTTTTTTCATAAGATTTTGCACAAATTCTGCTTCATATGAATACAAAAATAGGTCTGCTTATAACGGGGTGCAATTGGTTCACATGGGAATTCCAAAAGATTGTTGGAAGACCTGGTTTCCAAAAACAACATAGATATGATATAAAAAAGCCTGGACTTTAATTTATTGTGGGGAATGGTTGTTTATAGATTTGAGCTTAAGCCGTTGGTTTTGGTAAAATCTTGCGATTTTAAATTGTCCAAAAGTTCCTTATATTTTTTTCTAAAGTTTCCACAACTGATTTACACCACATCTTAAATATATTGTTGCACAGTACTCTCGAAATTCGTGCTCTACTGTTTATGTTTATCTTAGTGAGGAGTAAAGAAAGGGGCTTGGTTAAACATTTGCTGGAACCCACTATGTATCTTTGTAAGGATTTTTATGAATTTTTCGAATCCAATATATGTTTATAGTAGTTCAAATTCATTTTGGTTCTGTGAGATATTAAAAATATTCAAAACTGACATGTGATTTTGAAGAATTTCTTCCTTAGAAAAGGAATGTTTTCCAGCAAAAGGAGAAAAATGCATCTGACTGTCCCCAATATTCTAGTACATTTATTGACATATGCTACTTTTCTAATTTTATTTTATTTTATATGTTGAAATTGTTTCTTTTCCCATAATTTAGCCCCCGTAAGTATTTGCACGTCAAGTAAAACAGACCACGGCGAACAGGTAATGCAGTGATTCTTGTGCATTCAATTTGGTTCACTTTTACAAAGCGATGACGTTAGGAAATATATAAATCATTTCCACTCCAATCTTATACAGAGGTGAGAGTGTTCAGTGGTTTCTTGTATTGAATAATTTTGGCGTTTCTTAGTGATCAAAATTACTTGCTATATTGTGTAATGAAATATATGGAGAATAAGAGATGGGACAATATCCAAGCTCAAAAGTCCAATTAAAGATACATATAAGAGAAGAGCAAACATGGACCCCCAAAACGTGAGAGGAAGGATCAGGTGCCACAGAGGAGTGAGTATCCCCTGTCGACCAGTAAAAACCCGCCGTGTGCTCCTTGTCATGTTCGGAAAATGACGGAAAATCCGTCGGTAATTTATTACCGGCCGCCAGGAGGCGGTCGGTTACTTGATATGAAAGTTTGAAGTCGACTTGCGTTTCTGCGGAGTTAGAACAATTTAAATAAAAACATTTAACGTTCATATTATAGAATATTAAACAAAGATATTTTTAAATGTTTAACAAAAAGCACAATAATCATAAAATTAAAATCATATAAATAATGGGGGTAAGTGTTTCATCCAATCCTGATTGACAAACTCCGACATGATTGAAGTGCGGCGAAGTTATATGTAGGCATAGTCTAAAACAAAGACCGCTTTGTAAATCAACAATTTTACTTTCTCTTTTTAAACAGCCTATACGGGATTTGTTGTATTTATTTTGAAATGACATGTATATTTATACATTTTCTATGGAAAATTTTCAAAAATTTGATGAAATATTCATTTCTTAAAAGTACAGAATCTTACAACATTTTGGTCCAGGAGACTAGGATAAAGCGCGTTTTTACAATGTGCCAAGCATTTTCCCGCCACATCTCAACACCAAAACAAAGAGACTGAAAGAGAAGAAATATAGTGGTGGATCTAGAGGGAGTTGGGGGAAGTCAATATCCTCTAAGAAAGAGCGAGAAGCCCCACATATTTCATATTTGTTGCGTTTTTATTAAAGTACAACTAAAGCTTAGTTTAAATTTTAGTTCTGTACTTTTATGTAAAAACTACTTAAACATGAAACTTCCACCAGAGCAGTTGTTTACCAAGTACCAAACTGAGTGCTGAGATGCAGAGGTCTATGGATCGTTTGCTTATACATATAATATTGTACATGCATTATGCATGAAGAAAATCGGCAATGTCGCATGCAAGTGTTTCATGTCACGAGGATATTTTAATAGATAAATAATATAAGAAATTTTAAAAACAGGTCACACAAATTTCATTTCCTAATTACTTTATCAATGGAATAATTAATTGGTCTGCGGCCGATTTTTGACGCTTGCGTCAATATATGTTTCTTGTTGTCTTTGTAATGGCCTAACGATTAGTTTTAAAAATGTCTGTCAGCATTTGACTTAATGATAAACTGAATTTGCTGACAAGGTCATATTGTATTGACCATTGAACTTTTTGATCCAGCAACTTGTCTATCAATAACTTACCTCGTTTTAGAAATTCTCAACTGAAAAATATAAATGTCATAGGCAGGTGATGAAGGTATATTGCTGCATAAGCAAAGGAAGTTAACGATTGAAAAGTTAAAATCATCTCCTTTACCCATTTATATATTTTTTTTAATCATACCATGATTTGCAAGAACACAGATTACGTTCATTGGTCAAAAAACATAGTATACTTCACGTGAGAATTTGAATAGATATCAAGTGATGACATCTATGAGTTAATCAAAAAAAAAAAAATTACCAAACTAGTAATTTTAATGGAATTTCACCCAAAATTCGTTTTAGAGTAGGAGAACAGTATCGATAGAAGTTAAAAACATAAAGGAAAAACAAAAATAAAGCTCCAAAATACTTAATGTATATGCGTTTTTAAATATTTTCAATATAAAAGAAAAGTGGACGATAACGAACAATAATCGAACTAAAAACAATCTAGACACGAAAATGTGAAGAGGGCTTAAAAGTTAAAACACGTACCCCTGGAAATTCCGGGTGAGATCATATTCCTGAGGGGAGAAAGCATCCCCTGTTGACCGGTCACACCCGCCTTTTAAAGAAAGTTTATCTAAGAATTCAAGAACTTTACATCTACACAATACATTTTTGTCTTGTCAATATTACGTTTAACCATGTTAACTGCTTTAGGTAGTATCATTTTGTAAATTTTGAATTTACAAGGGGGGGGGGTTAAATGCAAAATTTACAATTTTGCATTTACCTCCCCTAGTAAATTCAAAATTTACAACATGATAGTAGGTCGCAGGTAAGATTTTTTTAAAGCAATAAACCGTGATTTACCTAAAGCATTATTCCAAGTTATTGTTATGAAAGTTTTTAAATTTCATTGCACATTATTTAATACCCCCGGTAGTTCAAAAATTTCATATTGGTTCAGAGCAGTACTGATTGCCATTCGATGCAAATCAATATTCTGGGCGAGTGGTTTGAAATCTGAAACTGTTTCCATATGTGACCACTTCAACAAACAGTTGTCTCTATTAATTCCTATTACATCCTTGTAACAGGTAGTATTTTTATTTTCAGTGAAGATTGGCTTAAAGATTAGTATTTATTGAATCTCATCAACTTACATTTTTATTAATCTATTTTGAATAGATTTGTTGCATGGTGCCTGTACAATGAATGATAACATTGGAATATCAAAACTAGAATTTTTAAATTTGCTTCATAGGTATAGATAAATCATAGTCAGACTCAAGTATTCATTGTAATGGTCACATATGGGAGCTGAGGGTTTTAAATTTCATACTTTTGTATCAATTTACTTGTAAATAGTACGATATGAAATGACGGTCATTAAGTGGCATTTGTGGCAACATTGTTGTCATGAAGATGCGAACGAAGAGGTCATGGCGTTTAATCGTGCTGATGACCTTATTAACTGTGATTGGCATTCTTCTTATTCACAAGATTACATTATTTCTAAAGAAGAATGTTGAAGCCGGATACAAGGATACATGGACATTAATGGCGGCAGAGAAACATCCGGTCCGACAATGGAGTGATTTACCCGTCCACGTGGTGGAAGAGCATCACGAAGGTAAGACAAAGAAATCTCAGACAAACATGTGTTTTTCAGATTTAATGCGGGAATTATCTACCATGCATTATTGATTAATAAATGTGAATTCTATATATTAATTATTTTTTTAAATATAGTTCTGCCATACTGGCTTCGAGCAGCTGATCATGGAAGAATTTCAAAAGGGGTTACTCTTGTTAGTATTTCGTTTTTTTTTTATATAGAATATATTCTTTAAAATCTATTTATATGTTTTTGTTCATGATATAATTGTATAACTGCTTAAAATGATACATTGATTTGTTAGATCCACATAGACGGACACAGCGACATGGCATCGAATTTCTATTTGGAGGGATATCCATTTTTCAAATGGCCAAAAAGTCCTCAAGACATAAATATTATGATGCAACGCAACGACGGTTTTATTACGGTACATTTTTTTAAAAATGTTTTTATAAGATCAACTTGAAGGAAAATAATTGCAAGATAATGATGTTTCAAAAGAAAAATAAATGCACTTTTGATGAGATATGTTCGACCACATAAAACCAATGAAGCGTTATATTTTCTCTTTTCACAGGCGGCAGCCATGGCAGGACTGATTAAAAACGTTATCTGGATTTGGCCAAAATGGGACCAAGTGAATCACAATGAGTCCAGGACATCTGGAACAATCCACCTCGGCTGGACAATTACAAAGCAGACCAAAAACGGTACCGACAAAGCATTTTGTGTGTGCATAGCAGAGGACACGGAACAGCAAAAGTCCTGCGTGTTCACGTCTGCTGATGAAACCGACATGGAGGTGGCGATGGAAGAAGATGCATGCATCATCAAAAGGTCTATCCATTACACAGAAATGAGAGAAGACGTGGCTAAGGAATACCTGCAGACGACCCCTGAAGGTTTTGATAACATGATACTTGACATTGACGAAGACTTTTTTGGTTGTGAGTATGCATCACAGCCTCTCTATGACCTCTCCGTTGATTCGAACACGTTGGATAATTATCTCTTTCAGCTGTTCTGCCCACTTCATCAAAGTGGAGAGGCTTTATTGGACAAATATTTGTCAGAGGTCATTGAATTTGTAAAGCGTACAAAGTGTATATCCGAAAACAAACCTGAAAATTGTGACAGCAAAGTTATAAGTGAGACAAAGCAGTTTTTCCTAAAGAAAAGAAGTATTTGGCGTCCTTACATTTGCAAAACCACGAGGAAAGAGAGGAACTCGATTATCGATGGAATAATTAAAGAACTCTTCAAATTAGATTCAAAGCAATTAAGTGCTGTACAGAAAGTTGGATTTTGTCTATCTACAACACGAAAAACCTACCAACTGATAGGCCCATCCATGTTTACTATATGCAAAGGAGCTAATTCTCCAAATGAGACTGCTGTCACGGAACACAGAACTAACGCTATGGAAGTGAGCACCAGGGGCCAATTACTTAGCAACATTCTGCAAGTATTTAAGGAAAGTCCCCCAAAACTCGTCACTGTGTGTCGATCTGTCCGTGATGGGTATACCCCAAAGAAACATTTCGCACAGATAGAAAGCATAGTATTAAATTCCATCCGCAAAAATTACCGTAAGACTTTTATCCATTATGACAAGGGCCTGCTTGGTGGAAAGAAAGGATTCAAACAATCCAAATAAATTCCGATTATCACGTCTTAAATATACACTATATTGTAACGAGTGCAAGTACATCTACATGTAAATTTCAGAAGAAAGGATCAGGAATACACGAAGTACTCTGTATATTTATGCATGTTTAACCACCAGCGAGGTTCATAAATATGGTGCTGTTTATTGGTTCATGTTAATGATATGCTTGATGAAATGAGACAAAATCTTTTTATGTATTGTTCTTGGTTGCTGTTGTAAATGTAGGTATTTGTGAAACAATATTTTTATTATTGTCGTCATCTTTATCTTTGTCTTCATCATTATTATGTATAAATGATATTAAACATTAAATGAATAAATTGCTAAGATTTAAGGTCAAGATGCTTAATAAACAATGCAAAATTTTCTTAACTTTGTTTGTCCATATTTGGATTGACGAGGGAGTACTAGTTTTTCCTTACTAATATAAAAATGAGATGCAACATAAACAAATCTTCCCTGTACTGATATATCTATTGAATTACTCCTCAGTGGTAGGAATGTATAAATCAATTTATTTTTAAGAATTGTCATGAAATGAAAGTTATAAAAGTGGCACATCAACACTTAGTTTCGTTTGTTCCTCTAGTTCCTGGTATGCTGGTCGCATTTTCGGATCCAAACTTGATCCATGTTTTCTGAGGTTTGGTCATTATGGATCGCCTCTTGTCGACATCTCTGACGGAGAGTGGCTCAATTCTCCGCTTTTTACAGGGCAACAGACTGGCAAAGTTTTTTCGGAAGTTTTCATTCATAAACGCATAAACAACAGGGTTGTAACAACTGCTACTCAAAGCCAGACACTTCAAAAAAGCCTTCCACTGCAAAGTGGCATCTGGTGTCATGCTGGATACCTTCTCTCCTACAGCATTGAATGTTTGAATAGGCAGCCAGCAAATTATGAAAAGAACCATCACGGTAACTAGCATTTTTATCGCGCGTTTTTTCTGTTTCAGACGATAGGAGTCGTTAGCTTTCACAGTTATCCCAATCGGTCTCCTTCCCCATAACTTGACGATAATAATGGAATAAAGAATTGTCATAACTAGAAGTGGGGCTACAAAGAGGATCAGAAATGGCAGCCACAGCTGGAAAAACTCCATTGTTTTACTGGTAATGAGAGGTAGAGTGCAAATATCATCCACAATTCTGTCGCAAACGTCTTTTACTTTTATAAGCTCGAAATAGAAAACTTGGGGGATGCCTGATACCAAAGATGTCACCCACACTGTGATCAGTAAGGGAACCAGTCTCGTGGAAGCTTGGAAAAACTTCACTTTCAGAGGGTACACGATGGCGTAAAATCTCTCAAAGGCGATACAACATAAAGTCAACGAGCTGCAGGCCACACAAAATGTCGTGATGCAGGGAACAATTTTACAGGCGAAGGCGCCATACTTCCAGTACGTGGATATGACATTCCCCATGTTAATGGGCGTGGCAATTAACGACAGGAGAAGGTCGCTGACGGACAGGGACAGAATGAAGACATTGGTGACGGACCGCATGTTTCTGTTTCCACACACGGTAATAAGAACCATCATATTTCCCACCAGGGAGACGAAGATGATGATGGAGTACAGTACCATTAGAAGCGTCTTGGAGGTCTCCGAAATCTCCGGCGTGTCTACTTTACTGTGATCAAAGACTTGGAAAAAGAAGGAATCACACATCACTTTACGCAAAAATGAATTTCCTCTCGGAGGGGCACAACACATGGCTTTCAGTCGTTGAAAATTCCATTGGTAAGGAGTGGGAGTAGTTGTAAAATTGGTCAAAGTGTCATTAAGTAACGACTGGTTAGCATAACTAGTAAATTCTGTGTAAAAAGGGTTCGCAGTTGAATTTGCCATGATATTCCTTGATTAAGCTGGTACACGGGAACTAATGGTCTTTTATAACAACTGTAGATATGACTACATCATTCAAGCACTTTGTTCTTAACGATCTGGAATTGCTTTAAATGATTGCCGTTTATTCGCTGTATTATTTCTACGTCATTATAGTATAACGATTCAAAAATTTGCATCATGTGATCAAATGCCTACAAGAAAGCAAACAATAACATGTGTATTGGACCGGGAGGACTTCCGATAAGGCATCGGTGCGGAAGTTTCCTCCAAGACTTTGGTCAACAAAGAAATCGCAGGCAATCAGGAATGGTCCATCTGGCACCTGGTTTCTATGTCATACGATGGCAGTTCTTTTATTTATCGTATTAATTATACCATGCAACCAAACTTAAGAAAACATTTAATTTGAACAGTATAGGAATATTTAAGGATATTTAAGTACTGTCGACATCCATTAACTTTGAACAGTTTACTTAAAAAGCACTTGCAATAGGAAAAACGTACCAATACTTCCAATGATATTTTTTTATTTAATTAAACAATATTTTATATTGAACAATCATAACAGGATTTGTCGGCAGGTATGACCTATATAAGTCCTCTCTAACCTTATTTTTTCTTTGAAAATCCCACGCATTCCTAGAACTGTGAACCTAAACGAAGGGATTTTTTCTATCTCACTCCATAGCAACCGTTAGTCATTTTATAAATTCGGAATTTACATGTAACTCAGGTGCCTGTAACAGAACTATCAGAGAGCCACATATGTACACGTCCTAGGTCGACTCAGAAACTTTTTACTTAAAAAATTACAACTTAGTCTCAGGATCATGAAACAGACTTAAGTTAAGTCAAAATTTCAATCACGTGTTAAATGTTAATTATTTTTTTAATTCATCTCTAAATTTGCAGGAAACAACACTTTTGTAAAAGTATATAGGGAAATATTTTAATTTTGGTTTCCTTGATTTTTACAACAATTTAGCATAAATTAAAGATTTTGTTTAACATGTTTAAGCATAAGTTTTATGATCCCGGGACCTGGTTTTCATGTAGTTTAAAAATTGACTCTTTTAGGTGCAAATGGAACGAAAATTGTAACCTGTACTTATTTATCTAGATATTTATCTATAAATTCCATGCTTATTCTTATCAGTTATAGTTCTCTCCGGTTGGAGTTAAGCACAATGATTTTGTTTTTATATCTTGGAAGTTTTCTTTCGGTTTCCGGGTTACTTTTAAACAATCTTGGAGACGAATGTGTAACAAGAAATGAATTTATGACAGTGATCGCTAGTTTGAATTCATCGATCATCAAAGGTATATTTTAAACTACGCGTATATTACTAGTATTATTCGTATATAAGGTGCTATATTTGATGTGTTTTTAGATACCAACTTTTGTAAAACGAACATTAACCGTACTTGACGATGAAATCTAAAGACATGTTAACAAATCCCCCCTTGAAAATTGTGGAAACTTGCACATTTTCCGTGATTTGACTATTTTTTTTATGTTTTTTGCTAATTATGAAATTATTTTCTGCATGTAGATACTACATTCCAATTTTTTAATAGAAAAGGGGGGGGGGGGGTACTGAACAAAAAATGCAATGATGATGAAAAAATGCATGAAACGTCATATAAGAAATTACGTGTTCTTTATTTTAGAGAAACAAAGGTCTAATGTAGCCTTCGTAGCCGAGTTATCACACAGAATTACCGATCCTCCGAACGGGTTCCACATCATCTTCGATAAAATAAAGTTGGACATTGGTGGAAACTACAAGGCCACACACGGCATTTTTCTTGCTCCTTATCCAGGAATTTACCATTTTGCTGTTGAAATAACATCGCCGCCGCAATCCTCTCAACATACTTTGCACGTAAGGATAATGAAGAAGAATCAACCGGTCGCCTTGACGTTCTCCGACGGTAATACTGAACAATGGCTGCGACGGACCGGCTCCATCATTCTTCAGCTTGACACCGGTGATGATGTTTGGTGTCGGACAGAATCCGTCAGTGGGACAAACACAATAGCAGGAGCTGATATTGGGGACACTTACTCTATATTTTCTGGATTTATTGTGCACCCTTTGTGAAAGCATTAAAACTACATGCATATAGTAATTTGAACTTTTTTTTTCCTTCAAATTTTTCTACACAGTGTCACTAACAGTCTAAGAAAAGAAATTCGTATTTCTAAGAAAGCAAGTACATTGGAATATTGGGGGTTAAGACGTGAATTCAAAACATTCTGAAACCATTCTATGGTTTGAGGTACAGTGTATTAGTAGTAACCCTGTTTCCTTGTTTTCTCGATATGAAAACTGTTCAAAATATTGTACTTCAAATGCGGTTAAAAAAAATGTTTGAACTTAATTTACACATCAGATTCACAGACTACTCAAGATTCTTAGGTACCACAGTCTGACACATGCTTCATATTTGGACATTTCACTGAAAAAATGACATCAATTGTAAACTAAAAGGAAAAGGTTGTGATAAACGTGATGACTTCTCCTTGAGATCCATGTCTCCCAGTTGATTTTGTATGCAAAAGCATGCTCTACACAAGAACACTTCAGTTTTTAAACGGGAAACTATTGACAAACAAGCTGATGAAACATGTATATCAACAGTTTCTTTAAACTTTTAAAGTTATAATTTCGCTAGTGCTTTGGTTGATACAATAAACTTGTCAGCATATACAATGCATAAAATCAAATGCTTACTGATGTTTTTCATAATAATTGTTTATAGTTCATTTTAAACAGTTTTATCTGATTTATCTATGGATTTTTCCCCATTTGTGCAATTGTGATAAGGAACATATGGCAGATGTGACTCAAAAACAAGAAATGTTTACTCCTCCATGACCTCTGATGATTTTAGAGGTCATCGTTGCAAACCACGGCCAAAATGTATGATCCTCTTCTATTCTGGCCGGTAGGAGATAGCTATAAGTGGACTCTGATTAGCTCTCTCTCTCTCTATCAACTGCCATATCTGCCAACTTATAAATAAGTGGACAGACAAAACCATTACTGTTTTTATTTGATAAATTAGACTCAAAAGAACACATTGGCAGTGATGCTTCTGGGCAGTCTTAGTTATAGCAGTCCTTTGAGGTACTCCATTAGTTTATTGCAGTATACAGATGTTCGATGTTTATGTTTCACTTCCTCAACCTCTTGTAGTAACATTGTAGGGCAGATTGACCCCGATTTCTTCAGTACCTCTGAAATTTTTTTAATCATGGCCACTTAATGTCAAGCTTATATAACTGATCATAATACATAAAATGTTAATAATTAGTTCTTAATATTTAGCGGGATTAATTGACCCCTACATTTAAACTGTTGAAGACAATTTTTCAAAATAAAGATTATTTTCTTAAAATAATAATTTAATCAGTTTAACATCTATAAAAATAAGGTACCAAATTAACATAATTATATCAAAGGCAAAAGGTTAACTCACCTAATATTGCTTCTTGTATCTTTTGTTCTGGGTCGTCTAGATGCACCAGGAGTCCTTTGTAAATTGCCTCTAAATGAGCTCTATACAATGTGACATCATATCCATTTTCAAAGCAGTCAAAATAGGCCAAAAACGTCTTAGAGACAGTGACTCTGACTTCATCACTGCTGTCATCTAAACGTTTGAGAAGATCTGGATACATATTATGCAGGCGATCCTGACCTAATTCTGCACCCATCAGATCAAATAATCTGGTCATAACTCGACAACAAATGAGTCTTGTACTTTTGTTGTCATCGTCCAATGTTGTAATCATCTGAGTTAAGAGATCTTCAACAACAGAGGACAGCTGAAATGAAAAAGTATATAATGAGCAATGTTTGCTATAAGTGAGCACATTTTTTTCAAACTAAACCTCTCCCATTTTAAATCCTCTGACAAAAAGAATTTCATAACTACATGTAGTTAATCTAATTTATGAATGTCAGATTATAATCAAGTAATTTAAACTGATAACCAATCACTATACTAGATATCCATATGGGTACTGAGCTTTTAAAAACACAATTTCAGCTGGTACAAAATGGTCTTTTTCGAAATTTTTGCCAGGACAAACTCCATCCACAAGTACCTGCCCAGATATAATGCATTATGTTGACGTCACTTAAGTAAAGAGTGTTTGATACAGAAATATTGTAAAGCTTGATGCACACTGACCATTTCCTTGCTGAGGACACCACTCTGTAGCAGTGCCCACATACAGGATACGGCGGTAGTTCTGATGGCCCCCGCCACGCGTCCTGCCTTCCACAGACAGTTTGGGACGATAATGTCCCTCACGACTGTCACGGCAAACTCCCCAAATTTATGACAGGAGTCCAGCGTAGAACCGGAGTTCATCACCAGTCTGGACAGCAAGGAGAAGAACTTCAGTCGCAGCTCAGGGTCCTTATCTGTGTCAAGGTTGGTCACAAAAATTGGCACCACGTCATCAAGAAGATCGCCAACAACTGGTCCTTGAAAAAGAGTAAGATTCAGATTAAAACCTTATCATAACAACTGGTACTTGAAAGAGAGTAAGATTCAGATTAAAACCTTATCATAACAACTTGTCCTTGAAAGAGAATAAGATTCAGATTAAATCATATCATAACAGCTGGTCCTTGAAAGAGAGTAAGATTCAGATTAAATCTTATCATAATCAAGGTTAAGTCTGATGTTGGTTTAACTACTGTAGATCACTTAATTTTCGCGACACCTTATTTTCGCGAGATAGTCATTGACTCTTTATTAGCGAGACAAAATTTTCACAAATTATGGTCATTGCTCTATATAATCTTAAGGAATACTATTAAACGCGAGAATGAAATTTTTGCAAGCATCTCGTCTGGCGTAATTACGCGAAAATAAAGTTCTCGCGAATAAATAGTGATTTACAGTACTTCATTATTTTTCATGGTCGTGTGGAATTTTCAACTTACCGCATTCAATAAGCAGGGTATCAAACACCAGTCTCTCAGTGGAGTGAACTGACCACATAGTTACTGTAGCCTTCAGCTCTTCTATCAGTGGCTTAGTGTGTCTACTGAACAGTTCCTGTCGGGATTCCATGACTTGGACCTTATATAACTTGTCTAGAAGGTCATTTACCTGTAAAATGAGAACAGAAAAAACATTAATGAGCATTGATTCCCTGCAAGTTTGGCTTTAAATGTCTATATTTTATTATGTTTAGGGTATGCAGGGTTATTTTTGCCCTTTCACACAGTTTGCAAACAATATTCAATTGGTGAACAGGCGAAAAGATGTGGTCAAAAGTTTCCTTCTGGACAGTTTCTAAAGGGAAGCAGAAATAACTTCAAAAAATCTTATTAGAATATTTGTAAACTGCTTTTATTCAATATTTGCCATTGTAGCTACCTGATCTCTCGAGTCCTGATTCTGGGACAGAACAGTGATGAGGAGGTTAAAGAGCTGCTGACTGACCAACCCACAGTCCTCCTGACACACCTGGAGAATCGCCGACGTACAGTTTAACAGCTGGGAGTGCATCTGTACCTGGAAATATAAAAACCTTAAGTTACTAAGACATAAAAATTTCTCAAGATTGTAACCTTGTTTTGAAGTAAAATAAAAACGAAATTTCAGCAATTTATTATCTAGTGGTTATTAAATCATATCAATGTGTTTTATGATTGTAATCTTTACCTGTGTTGTGTAACATATGTCTGAGTCGTTCAGTGCCGTGATGATCTTGGGAAGGTAAGGATTTAGTGTGGACCGCTCTGATCCCCTGATGACAGCAGCCAGGATCATCAGAGGATTGAATGATTGCATGGATTTCACATTAGCAAGTATCATCTTACACCAGACCTCTGGAGAAACAAAGTATCCCACCAACTCAGCTGCCTTCTGTACCTAAGTTTTAGATATTATATATACATTAGATATCTATCAAGTGAAAAATTCCTCATTTGCATTTTTTAGCAAAGCTGCTTGAAAAATAAAATAATAATTTAGCAGTATAAACACCAAGTACAATGTAATCTGAGTAAGTGTATAATTGTAATCTTACGTCTTTGACAACTTGGCGCTCTTCATCTGCGCAGGCTCTGTACATCCCAGAGGTTAACACTGCCATGTGTTGTGTGACATAATCCTCTGCATTCAGGAGAAGCCAGTAGAGGAGAGCTGCCGACTTCAGTCTGGTGGCGACGACCCAATCAGTAACGTCCTTCATCAGGGCTGGCAGAATCTTAGACAGGTGTCGCATGATCAAAACTCGGCAGCCCAAGTTTGGTCTCTCCACTTAGAAATAAAAAACATCAGAGTGATTTTTTATGAAAAAGATTGTTTATTTAAAATTACTTATGAAAATTTATGTCCTTGTCTTTGAATATAGATTACTTGCAAACACTTTATAGACTTACCATTAGGTGGATAATGTGCTGGTTTCTCTTTGGAAAAATCTAACTGATCCTTCAGCTCTCCTTCATTTTCTTGTTCATACTTTAGACCTACAAAAAGGAGTGGTGAATTAAATGATGTATTTAAATTTACTGAATTTTAGTTTTTATTATTCCCCCTTGGCAATCACAATACCCCCCCCTTAAGACATATCCTCAAATTAAATAGAGACTAATAAGAAATTTAAGTATTGCTAATTACCTGCATCATACCACAATGAATCTGCTAGCTCTACAATCTCTGGCTGAGTGTCTGCTAGCCCGGTTAACAGGAGGGGTATTAACTTATGGTGGAAGGAGTAGCGATCGGGCAAGTCCAACAGCCACCCTCCGACAACTTTAACCACAGCCTTTCTGACTGCCGGGGAATCGTCAAATAATCGCTGGGCCAAATGTGACACCACATTGTCCATCGATTTACCATTGCCATACTGAAGAACATCACCTACAGTCAAAAGACAATTAATGTATTTGTAAGTCTGAATGTAGTTCAAAGATGCCAATGTAATAGCTCATTGAAAGTTACAATTAATTTATACAGATGACGAGTATTGAATTCATTTGTTTTTCTTACCTATTGTTTCAACTACTAAAGTTCTGACTTTTGCATGCTGGTGTGTGATTGTCATTACCAATGGTTTAATAAGAGATTCTGACTGCATATGG